CAGTAGGTCACAAAGGGATAAAGCTAGGTCCATTGAGTTGGCAAAGGTGTGACAGAGTATATTGCGGGAAAAAGTGAAATTGTCCATTTTGACAGGAAGAATCAAAAAGAAACATATAATCTAAATGGTGAGAAATTGCTGAGCTTTGAGATAAGAGAGAGACCTGGGTGTCCCAGTATGTGAATCTCACAAGTTGAGTCTGCAGGTAAAGAAAGTAATGAGGAAAGCAAAATAGAATGTTATCATTTATCGCAAGGGGAATGAAATACAAAAATACATAAATGCTTCAGTTATACAGAATGTTGGTAAGATGACATTTGGAATACTGTGCACAATATTAGTCACCTTATTTAAGTGGAATCAAGGGACTGTGTTGAATGATCCAATTTGGTTGTATTGAAGGTGGAGCAGGCTCGAAGGGCAGAATGGCCTACTCCTGTTCTTATTTTCTCTGTTCCTGTGCTCCAAGGTTATGAAAAGCATTGATAATCAACCTGTTCAGAGATGATATGACATACCTGTGAAGTAGGTGGGACTTGAACCTGGACCTTTTGGCTCAGAGGCAGGGGCACTACCGCTATGCCACACAGAGCCCTGTGAGAAAGCAGTACACAAACAAACATTCCTTCTGTCAGTTTGCAGAAACCGGCTGCCTTGTCAGTGTGGCTCTGGACGTTTTAAAGAATGTGCAGCTGCTGCCATTTTTGGAAATTTTAAGGAATGAAGCAATTTTATTTTAGGTGCTGCACTTGATATCATTTTAAAATTTTATGGTTCATTATGCCCCTATTGCAGCTAGTTGTGGATCAGTTGCAGGAACAGATGGGTGTTGATCTGTCAGAATCTCGCTGGCAGCCTTTTGAGAAGCGGTCAGGATGCCAGTGAGTAGGAGGATACAGCTGCTGCCTACCAACCCAATCTGCACTGAAAATGCCACTCTCTGCAGGGCAGCTTGGAAAACACCAGAGCTCAGAAGAGTCATCTAGACTCAAAACGTTAGCTTGCTGTCTCTGCATGGATGCTGCCTGACCCGTTGTGATCTCCAGCATTTTTTGTTTTCACTGCTGTAATTTGCTCCTACCCTATTTTATAACGTTAATTTTACCTTTGCAATGTCCAGCCTTTTCAATTTAATTGGTTTAGCTATCTCCGAATAGTAACTTGGGGCATTTTTGTGGTGATTATTTAGAAGTTTGCATACATTTGCTGACTTCGACTTTTGTTTTAACTAACATTTAATTACCAAAAGCCTTGTTGGATTTCAGATGGTTGAGGCTGACCTATGTTTGTCTTGGTGCAAAACTTTTACGCTGTGTACAGACATTGCATATGCTTGGACACAGTAATATTACTGTGTCTGTGTGTAACAGCATTGCTGGTTGCTTGTGTACACAAATGCTCAGAATAGATGATACACACATCTGGGTTATGAAAACACCCCTGTTCTTCAAATAGTGTCGTGGGATCCACATGAGAAGCTGTGTGTCTCAGTTTAGCTTCTCATTTCAGAGGACAGGTCCTTTTACAATGCCCTGCTTCCTCAGTACTGCACTGGGAGTGTCAGTCTGAAGTTCATGCTGAAATCTCGAGTGTCTGTCAGTCACTAGTCCCATGTTCATTCATGTTGCAGAATTAAGTCTGCTCCTTGTAAAGTTTTGCAGCTCTTCATGCTCCAGAATATGTGAAGGGACTCGAGAGTGTGCCAAAACTCATGCTCATGCTGTTCTTTCAGAGATGCAGTCATAGTTCCCATCACTGTCCTTGTCTGCATTGTTACTTAGATAATTTATCACTGTTTGTTTTTAATATGTTCCGTCTTTATTAATGTTTCATTTGCCAAAAGAAATAAACTTGTGTATACAGAAAATTAAATGATAATAATTGAAACTAAACTGTACAATTGGAGTATTTTCCAACTGTGTGCAGTACTGTCTCTAGCCTTGATTACATTTGAAAAGTTATGGATTGAACTTTGAGTTCCCTTTGCAAACTGACTGAAACATCACTCGTATTATGCAATTCTTATTTATTGATGACAGCCTTTATATTCATGTCCTTTCTCTGCTTAAGGAGCACAATACTTTCTAGAACGCTCTGCATCATGAGTGTTACAATGATGGTTACCTGTTAATATGCTGCATTTTGGGTTGAGGAACCTAAGTGATTACTCCCAAAAGTCCTTGACTCCAGTGACACCTTACAAGGCTCGGTGTCAGAGTTTGTTAAGTCACGGAGCACCTTATGGTCTTTTACTGTGTTCAAGGTGCCATTTAAATGCAAGATATTGTTAGATAATTATTAATCTAGGCTGACTCTAAGAGTCAGATCTCAGTTGCTGCTTCCATTGTATACCATTCAGCCAACACTCGCTGTTTTAACAATGATCAAAGAAGGACAATTTTTTTAAAAGCTGTAGAATTACACTCCTAGCTAAGGTAATGCAAAGTCCTTCAGGACTCTACCAGCTTACTGCAACCCAGCCCAACCCCTGTGGGACCCCTAGAGAAACCTGTTTCTCTCTATTTACCCTATCACATACTTTAATTATCTTGAAGACTGGGATTAGTTCACTCCTATATTTGAAGAACAGTAAGTCTAGCATATGCAACCTGTCTTTGATTTAATCCTTTTAATCTTGTAGTTTTTGTTTCTGATTGTGCACAGGTTGCTGGTTTTGTTAACTGCCGTCAGAGGCAGCCATGCACAACAGAGGGCTTTCAGTGTTGGATCACCATTGAGCCAGGCTAGAACTCTTTCCTTGAAAAGAGAAGGGCAATTTGGTGTTATTAGATAATTTGACAGGGTAGACATGGGGAACGTTGGAGGACAAAACTAAATATCCAGACGAGAATTTAGGAGGAAGTTCAGTATTAAGAGGATGGTGAGAAAGTGGAACAGAGAGTGGATGAGGCAAATAACTTAGATATACAGGAGACAGTAAGAGCTGCAGATGCTGGAAGCCAGATACATTAAGAGAAACGTAGATAAGCACATCATGAGAAAGGAGAGTAGAGATGGGGTGAGATGACTTTCTCTCCACTCCACTTCACATCACTTTCCTGCCCACTCTCTGTAACCCTTCAATGCATTACTGGTTAAACATCTGTCTAAACAAACAAGATATAGAGGGCTGTGGAGAGAATTTCAGAGCTTGGGGCCCAGGGAGCTGAAGGCACGATTGCGAGGAGTGGAGTGATGAAAATCCGGAATTCTCAAGAGGCCAGAACTGGAGGAAGGAGATATCTTGGAGTGCTGTAGGGCTGAAGGAGTTTCCAGAGTTAGTGAGGCGGGGGGAAGACCATGGAGGAATTTAAAAATAAAGTTGTAAACCTCATAACTAAGACATTACTTGGCCAGGAGCCAATAGAGTGAGCACTGTGAATAATCAATGAATGGGACCTGGTGGGAGTTAGCATATGGACAGCATGGTTTTGGCTAACCTAAAAGTTTAAGTGAACTCCCAGGACACACCAAAGCATTTTTATTCCTTACTCATAAGTCTCTGTGTTACAATATAGTTTGTTGCAAAGGCTCCCCTTCTGTACATTCAAATCCAGTGATGTATATGTGTAATGTATTGACTCTAAGAGTTTTGTGCAACAGCTGTAAATTTTTTCCAAATCTACTTGAGGTGCAAGTTGGGGGTGTCTTCTGGGGATATTCTGCAGCTGAAAGAATTTATCTGCTTGCCTGTAAATTAAATAATTTATGACCCATTACATTCAACAATACGATGGGGTGATTCTTTGGCAAGCTGGAAGCCTCAATTAACATGCACAATGATGTGAATAAAATGAGACAAAAGACACAATGCTGCACAATATATTTTAAATATAACAGACTTGGTTCCATCTTTCCAGTGAGCTGTTGCACTGTGTGTTGTTATTATAGTTTGAAGACGTATCAGTAGATTTTCTTGATAGTGGAAAACTGTAAATCATGGTCTCACTTGCCCGCTGTGGATTGGATTTGAGAAGCTAGGGTCATTTTTTTGTTGGCCTGAATAAGTGCTATTGGAAGGTCTATCTGCGGCAAAGAAAGGATTTCTGAATCCTACTGAATGGCATCATTACAGAATCATATCGCATAGTCAGAAGCTCCTTGATACGCTGTGCCTGTATTGGATCTTTGAAGGAGCTAATTAGTCCCACTCCCCTGCTTTCCACCATGGCTGTGCGTTATTTTCTAATTTCTTTATAACAATGTTCATTACATTGTAAGGACAAAATGCTACAATACTTGGTATTCAGAAATTTAGCAGTGTTTGACCTTATTGTTACACTACTGAAAGATAATTCCATAAACTTGACTGCCTAATGCTAGTCGGTACACACCCAATACTTCTCTACATGTTTCCTACAGTCACATGGTTAGACTTCGGGCTTCTGCCAAGCTCTCCACATGTTTCTCACATCTTCCTTAACCCCTGTGCTATTTGTGTCCAGTGAGGGGCAGCTCTGTGACATCATTGCAAGGTTGCTCCAGGGCCCTAAAGCCTTCACACGGAACATCACATCACATTGACAAAGCTCAGCTGGGGGAGAGACCGGTCCTTCAATCCTTGGCACGTAACAATAAAATCACTCTTAATTTCATAGGACTATTCAGTTATATTATGACTGATTTAGTAGCTCAGCCTCATGGACTTACCTTGGTTTGATCTTTGATATTCTTGCCTTACAACAACTTACCAATGTCAGTATTGAAATTTTCAACTGAGCTTTAGTTGGGGATGGGGTGGGGGGTGCCGTGTAGGGGCAGTGGGTGTAGAAGAATTCCTGACTTCAGCCTCGAATGTTCTAGCTTTAAGGTTATGCCCCCGCTTCTGGATTCCAAACCAGACCCTCCCTGACTGCCTCTGGCAGAGAATTACATCAAATACTTTATCTCAACCATTCCAGCCTACTATACAATATGCTTCAGTGTCTTTGTAAGCCTAAAGACTATGAATAAATCTTCATCTTCCAAAGAGCTAACATTTCCTTTGTTCTTTGTTTCCTATTTTGCAGTTTTTGGGAGTGGCCTTTCTAGGGATTGGTCTGTGGGCATGGAGTGAAAAGGTAAGGCAGTCTGAATGCACAAATACAGTTATGGCATTGCACAAAATAGCCCCAGGCTTCCTTTGCTCATGCTATTTATGAAATGTCTTCAGTGGAAAATATTCCTGTTTGGGCTGAGGGTGTGAGAGAATAGGGGAGGGAGTGAGGGGATGAGAGGAGGCCGGGGTGGGGGGGTGGAACGGAGTGAGGAGATAGGAGAGGGAGAGGGAGAGGGGATGAGGTGAAGAAAATGGGGGAGGAGATGGGAGACGGGGCAAGAGTTAAGAGGCAGTACTGACAGAGGGAGGGGAAAGGGAATGATAGGGGAGGAGGTGAAGTGAGCTCAGGGTAATAATGACAGTGGGTGGCTGGGGAGAGAAAGAAAGAAGTAAGAGGCGTTTGAAGTAAAGCATGCTGCAGTTCCTGACAACCCTGACTCCGAGCTTTACGTCATAACCAAAGGATAGAATCCAGTGCAAGTAACAAAGCTTGCTGTTGAACCTTATTCAATTGTTGGAAGGAAGACATTAAATTGAAGGAAGTGGAAAAACTGGAGCGAAACAAGGAGGATTTAGAAGGATGATGTTAGAACTGAGAGATTTTAACTATCATGAAAATCTGAACAGACTGTGGGTTCTTTACTGTAGAAAAGGGCAGGCAGGTGGGGGTGTTGCTTTGGGAAGGGGTTTATACATTTGTCTTTTAAAATAAGGCAAGTTTGATAGGCTGGATAGAGAGAACACTTGAGACGAAAAGTTGGGTCTGTAAATACAAGATTGTTGCTCATAATATTTTTTTTATTCATTCACTGGATGAGGACATCACTGACCAGGCAGCATTTATTGCCCTTCCCTAATTGCTCAGAGCACAGTTAGGAGTCAACCACATTCTGTGGGTCTGGAGTCACATGTAGTCCAGACTAGGTAAGGATTGCAATTCCTTTCCCTAAAGACATTAGTGAACCAGATGGATTTTTCTGACAATCGACAATGGATTCATGGTCGTCATTGGACTCCTAATTCCAGATCGCTATTGAATTCAAATTCCACCATCTACCGTGGTGGGATTCGAACATGAGTCTCCAGAACATTACCTAGGTCTCTGCGTTAACAATCTAGCAACAAAACCACTAGGCCATTACCTCCTGTCGGATGTGAAATTCAGGAGGAATATCTTTACCCGGATAGTGGTGAGAACAGAGAACTTGGGACAAGAAAAAAAGTTAATTTGAAGAATGTAGATGCATTTGTGATGAATCTAAAGGAAGGATAAAGAGATGGACGAGGGTGAAACATGTGCTGTGCCACAGGATTCAGTTCTGAGGCCTTAAGGGTTTGCAATTTATATAATTGACTTGGATGCAGGGACTGAGGATTTGGTTGCTAAATTTATTCATGATACAAAGATATGATGCGGAGGTGCTGGTATTGGATTGGGGTGGACAATGTCAGAAATCACCCGAAAGCTCGTGTTTTCAAATAAACCTGTTGGACTATAACCTGGTGTCGTGTGATTTCTGACACAAAGATAGTTAGGAAGGTAAATTGTGAGGAGGACACAGGGAGCCTGCACAAAGATATACAGATTACATGAGTGGCAATGATTTGGCAAATGGTGTACAATGTGGATAAAAGTGGAAATGTCCATTTTGGCAGGAAAAATGCACAAGAAGCATTTATTGTATTTGCGGAGGGATCTGGGTGTCGTCGTGAAGGAATTGTACGAAGCTAGAGTGGAGGTACAGCAAGTAATTAGGAAAACTTATTGAATGTTATCAATCATTGCAAGGGGAATTCAGTACAAAAGTAGGGAGATTACACTTCAGCTATACAGGACTTGGAGAGACCACATCTAAAGTGCTCTGTACAGTAACAAAAACAGAAAACTGCTGGTATCTGTGGAGTGAAATCAGAGTTAATGTTTCGGGTCCAGTGACCCTTCCAGTTCTGAGGAAGGGTCACTGGCCTTGAAACGTTAACTCTGATTTCTCTCCTCAGATGCTGCCAGACCTGCTGAGCTTTTCCAGCAATTTCTGTTTTTGTTTCTGATTTACAGCATCTGCAGTTCTTTTGGTTTTTATTTCATATTGTACTCTGTGCTGTATCGGTCTCTTTATTTAAAGAAAAATGTAGATGCATTGGAAGCAGTTCATAGAGGATTAACAAGATGAATATCTGGAATTGGTGCATTGGCTTATGGTGTTTCGGGCTTAGCTTGTATCCAGTTTGGAGTTTGGAAGAATAAGAGGTGACTTGATTGAAGCATATAAAATCCTGAAGGGTCTTGACAGGGTGCAAGTGAGAGGATGTTTCTTCTTGTGGGGAAATCTAGAACTATGGGTCACTGTTTTAAAAAAAAAGCATGTTGCCTGTTAAAGTACAGAGATGAGACAAATTTTTTACTCCAAGGGTTGTGGATCTTCAGAACTCTCTTCCTGAAAAGGTGGTGGAATATTTGTAAGGCAGAGTTGGGTAGCGTCTTAGTAAACAGGGGGATAGAAGGTATATTGGGGATAGGTGGGAGTATGGAGTTCAGGTTACAATTTAGACCAGCTAGAATCTTGTTGAATGGCAGAGCAGACTCTAGCTGAGTGCTGTACCCCTGCATGTTGTTTGTATGTTTGTGTGTGAAATGAAGGCGGCAGGAGTGGTGTAGGAGGACAACATGGGTGGTAAACACCGTCAGAGAGCAAGGTGTAGAGCTGGATGAACACAGCAGGCCAAACAGCATCAGAGGAGCAGGAAAGCTGACGTTTTGGGCCTAGACCCTTCTCATCAGCTTTCCTGCTCCTCTGATGCTGCTTGGCCTGCTGTGTTCATCCAGCTCTACACCTTGTTATCTCAGATTCTCCAGCATCTGCAGTTCCTACTGTCTCTCGCCATCAGAGAGCAGTTAGGCTGAATGGCATGTTTCTAGACAAATATTTTCAGTAATTTTCAAAAGGGAATTGGATATATCATAGAATCCCTACAGTGTGGAAACAGGCCATTTGGCCCAACAAGTCCACACCAACCCTCCAAAGAGCTTCCCACCCAGACTCACCCCGCTACCCTATTCCTGTAACCCTGCATTTCCCATGGTTAACCCACCAACCTACACATCCCTGGGCGCTATGGGTAATTTAGCATGGCCAATCCACCTAGCCTGTACATCTTTGGACTGTGGGAGGAAACCGGAGCACCCGGAGGAAACCCATGCAGACGCGGGGAGAATGTGCAAACTCCACACAGACAGTCGCCCGAGGCTGGAATCAAACCCTGGTCCCTGGCACTGTGAGGCAGCAGTGCTAACTACTGAGCCACCATGCCACCCTCGAAGCCCTTTCCTTGAAGTGGTGAAATTTGCAGTGCTACAGGGAGAGAACATGTAGTGTTTGGCCTAAAGTATGATGTGGAGGTGCCGTTGTTGTACTGGGGTGGACAAGATCAAAAATCGCATGACACCAGGTTATAGTCCATCAGGGTTATTTGAAGACACAAGCTTTCAGAGTCTTGCTCCTTCTTCAGGTGCCAGTGAGAGAGGTGGCTTCAGATACAGAATTTATAAGCAAAAGATCAAAGGGTCATAGAACTGATGCCAATATGTTGAACAAACCTAAGATGGCTGTTAAATCTTTAATCAGTTAGAAAGGACTAATAGGCAAATCCCAGAATTTCTTTCAAGTCACTACCCCGAGATAACTAAAGGTTTTATAAGTTGCACATTAATCCTTTCTAACGGAGTACAGATTTAACAGCCACCTTGGGTTTGTTCAACACATTTGCATCAGTAATATGCCCCTTTGTGATCTTTGGCTTATAAATTCTTTGTTTGATGCCATCTCTTTCACTGACATCTGAAGAAGGAGTGAGACTCCGAAAGCTTGTGTCTTCAAATAATCCTGGTGTCATGTGATTTTTGATCTGGACTAAAAGAGAAATTGCTGGATTAATTGGCTAGGTCTTTCAAAGAGCTAGCATTAGGCTGAATGTCCTCCATCTCTGCTGTATTAAATTATAATTCTGTGTCATTGGCTTTTACTGAGTCCTATAGGTCATGACTGGAGCCTTGGGATGCAAATCTTTAATGAATAAAGAATATAGTCAGAAATATTCTTAAATACACATACAATTGATCCCAAAAAAATGACAAACAGACTCTTTGTTACAGTGATGTGCAGAGGATTGGGAGTGGTTGGTAGATGGTTATCTGATGAAATAAATACCAAGTGATTAATAATGCGCTGGATTGTTTCAACATTGTCCACATGCCTATCTATCAAAGTCACAGAGTGCTGGGCATGTACTCATGATGCCAATCATTCCTGGACTTTTTAACATGCTCCAGAATTTGTCATCGGGAATTTACTGATTGTTTTGCATTTCTAAGAAACAGTTACAAGCAGGCTTGCAGGAAACTCATTTTCAGAACTTTGGAAAGGAAAGGACAGACTTGCGTTCCTATATTTTTGTCTTGTAAATGTCTCTCAATTTACTGGATGTGCCCAACAGCCAGAGATGTACTTTCTGAATTATAGTTACTGTTGTAATGCAGGAAACATAGCTACCACTTTGTGGACAGCAAGCTCTCATAAACATGAAAGTAATAATGACCAGATCATCTGTTTTTGTGATGTTGATTGAGGGGTAAATATTGCAAATTATTGGGCAGAGTCTAGGCACCGCTTGGCAATAAGCACTCTTGGAGGTTAATATGTAAAACCAAGGTGCTGTCTGTCCTCTTAGATCAACATTAAATGCCCCTTAGAAGAAAAGCAAGGTGGTTGTGGGAGGGGGTGGGAGTACAATTAGATTATCGGGTCATGACCAGCTTACTTTTTGTGAGGTTTTGTTGTGCACAAATCTGCCAAGTTTTCGATGTTACAACAGCTCGCCATTATAGATCAGGTTGTAGCTGGGAGGAGCTGGAGAGAAGGAATGCCAGAAACTAGAAAGAATAGGAGGCGTTTAAGGCAGTAAGGTTGACCCCAAAAGTGGGTTTTCGATTTTGAGAGTTGTGTGTAAAGAGAGATGATGGTGGTGCAGGTTATATGTACCTTATCCGTGCACTACAGTCAGATAGAATCTGTGGTTTTACTTGTGGCTGTATGCAATGTGCACATTTGGAAAGGCACCAGATTTTGATGAATGGCTGCTTGTGAAGTTTGGTTGTAAGCTGAAGTGTTTTTGAAACATGGGTTTGACCAGCTTCCTCCCTGATGTATTAGAACACAGCCAGCTGTTGGTCAGAGGAAAGCTCATATCCTTATAGTGCCAACATCATTAAAACAGGTTACCTGATCGTTAGCGTATTGCTTTATGTCAGAGCTCACAAGGCACAAATTGGCTCCCACTACATTTCCAACATTGACACTGCCTGAAAACAGAAGTTATTTCATTGGCTGTAAAGAATGGTGGGATGTCCTGAGGTTGTGAAAAGTGCTATTTAAATGCAAATTTGTTCTTCCCTTAGCAAGTGAGAAACCTGGTACAATGTTGAGTTTTGTTTTGATCTTCTTTCGACTCTTTCACCACTTCCCCAACCCCTTACCTCCTCCAACTCCTTTTTAATCCAGAGGTCTCTCAATGCCAGGTTATAGTTGCAACAGGTTTATTTGAAATCACAAGCTTTCAGAGCCCTGCTCCTTTGTCAGGTGAAGTCACTTCACCTGTTGAACTGTAACCTGGTGTCGTGTGAATTCTGACATTGTCCACCCTAGTACAACAAGGGCACCTTCACATCATGGCTCCTTTTTAGTTGCTCTGGAAATGCATCCAATAGGATTATCCATTAGATAGTGAAATCACGATCCCCAACTTTTACCTTCATGAGCACTGTACTTTAAATAGGATTGGTTTAACGAATGAACAAGTCTGTCTATTGTTTATTCTAAAACATGAGCAATGACCCTAATCCCGTATCCCAGCCCTATGTTTAGCTCGGTTGTTTCTTCCTCTGTTGTTCCTTCAGATGTCAGCTGACCCTTTCTTTCTGTGTTGATGAGATTTTTTGAATCAACGCCAAGCGTATGCTGCTTTGCCAACCCCCCCCTCCCCCGCTCACTGACCTACACTGAGGCCTAGCAAACAATGTCTTAAAAATCCTCATCCTTGTTTCCAAATAACTCTGGGGCCATCTCCCTCTCAATCTCTGATAACTCCTCCAGTCCTGCCGCCATCCAAGATATCCACATGCCTCAAATGCTGACATCCCCAACTTCTGCTGACCCTCCATTAGCTATTCCTTCAGTTGCCTAGACCCTAAGCTCTGGAACACACTCCCTGCATGTCTGTGCTTCTGGTCAGACCATGTGTGAAATTCCCCTGCCCTGATCTACTGCAATGCAAAGTTTATCTGTAATCTGCTTATCTGACTGTAATGTTTATCCTTTTAACTTTATTTCTTATTTTCTAACTTATGCTGTGAATCACTGAGGCAATGTAACTTTTTTTTTCTGTATTTCTCTTTTGTATCTAAGATTTGTAGCAAGGCACTTTATACCTAAGATGGCACCGTGAGGAGCAACATTGTAAACTTTTCACTGTACTCCTGTACTTTTGTACTTAAGTACACATGACAATAAACTTAATTCTAATTCTTTATTTCCCTCCTTTAACACATCTCTTACAATTTACCTCTTGGACTAAGCTTTAAGTTAGACTTCCTAAAGTAGGTGTCAGGACCCAACAGTGTTGTGAGCTGAAATCTTGGGGTCACGAACTTGTGAAGGTAGCAATGGCCAACGTGGAATGCTGACTGAATTATAACAGCCACAGTTCCACTTTAACACCTGTAAGACCATAAGTATTAGGAACAGGAGTGGACTCTTCGGTCCCTAGAGCCTGCTCCACACCATTCAATAGAATTGCAGCTGAACCTCCATTCAGATCGAGCTGTCACTGGTCTCATTCCCTACTCCCCTCTCCCGTCCAGCTTCCCCCACTACCACCACACACACACATACCACCACGCCCCCCCCCCCCCCCCCCCTCCACCCCCCAGCCAAGGACCCATAATGATCTTTGAGCCATGATATGGCATCACAAAGTTTGAGAAGCACTACTTTTGATCCTAAGGTCTGCCATTTTTTGGCTCAGTGTTGTACTTTATTTTATAAATTTACCTGTGAATCCCCTTAGGACCTTTATTTATGCTATATAAGTATAAGATGTCGTTATATTCTACACTCTCTCAACCCTCTACTTATGGGAAAACAAAGTCCCACAGACCTTAGATTTATTTCCATTCACGTTCCCTCATTCTTGGCTCCATGACTGTGGCAAACATTTCTTTCTATCAATTCTCTCTCAGAAGCCCCAGCCCTTTCAATGTATTCTGATAGATTTATCACTCAATTCTGATATTGCCCTTGCAAGTACTTTTTGCACCTTCTGTGTGCCTCTATGTCCTTTCATTGTACAGAGTTCAGAAGTGTACACATTAAACCAAGTGCAGTCCACCCTTTTGACTTGACAGGACTGGCCTTTGGCATATATTAACCACGATTGATTTATCACAGTCTGAATATGTGGTCATAATTGTTGCATGATCTGTGCCATTAATAAATCTAAGTAAGCTCAATTCAGTTTTTGAAGCCTCATTGGTTTTATGAATCAGTCAGCTGTACAAGAGGCAGCTTGTCTGTCACTTAATAGCTAGTCAGCTGGTTCCTCTGGGTCCATTTAGCTGAATCCAGGTAATATTGTTGGTAAAGCATAATCAGCGGCATCTTGGCTCACTCACATATCTCAGAGTAGATTGAACTGGGCTTGCCAGATTTTTTGCATCCTCATGTGCAGTTTAGCCACAGTTATTCACTTTTTATTGTAACTTCAATATCGAGCATTGCAACGTTTTGGTGCCTGCCGAATGTAAACTCATGAGTGTTGTAGCACAATTCAAGAATTTAATATACGACTAGATAAGTTATCATTGCTTTTGCTTGATGGCAGGAGACACGGAGTAATAGTGGAGGGTTGCTTTTCGGACTGGAAACCTGTGACCAGCGGTGTTTCACAGGGATCAGTTCTGGGTCTTCTTTCTTTTGTCATTTACATAAATGATTTGAATGCGAATATTGAAGGCATGGTTAGTAAGTTTGCGGATGATGCCAAAATTAGTGGGATAGTCTTCAGTGAAGAAGATTTTCTAAGATAACAAAGGGACCTTGATCAAATAGCTGAATGGGTTGAAAATTGGCAGAGGGAAGTGTGCAGCAGGACCTGGGTGTCCTTGTGCGCCAGTCGCTGAAGGTAAGAATGCAGGTGCAGCAGGTGGTAAAGAAGGCAAATGGTATGTAGGCCTTCATTGCAAGAAGTTTCAAGTACAGGAGCAGGGATGTGTTGTTGCAATTATACAGGTCCCTGGCGAGGCCGGCCTGGAATATTGTGTGCAGTTTTGGTCTCCTTTTCTGAGGAAGGATGCCCTTGTTCTCAAGGGAGTGCAGCAAAGGTTTACCAGGCTGATTCTGGGGATGTCAGGACTGATGTATGAGGAGAGCTTGACTAGTTTAGGATTGTTTTCAGTTCAGACAAACGAGGGGGGGGATCTCGTAGAGACTTACAAAATTCTAACAGGACTGGACAGAGTAGATGCAGGGAGGATGTTTCCAATGGTGGGTGTGTCCAGAACCAGGGATCATAGTTTGAGGATTTGGGGTAGACCATTTAGGACGGAGACGCGGAGACATTTCTTCACCCAAAGAGTGGTGAACATTGAATGTAATCAAGAGGTGACTAGATATAGGTAAATGGGATCAAAGGTTTTGGGGAGAAAGCAGGATTAGGCTATTGAGTTGGATGATCAGCCATGATCATGAAGAATGGCAGAGCAGGCTCGAAGGGCTGAATGGCCTCCTCCTGCTCCTACCTTCAATGTTTCTACGTAAGCTGGAGAGGGTTCAGAAGAGATTTACCAGGATTTTGCCAGGTATGGAAGGTTTGAGTTATAAAGAAAGGCTGGATAAGCTGGGACTTCTTTCACTGGACCGTACGAGGTTGAGAGGCGACCTGATAGAAATTTATAAAATAATGAGGTATATAGATAGAGTTGATAGGAATTGTCTTTTCCCTAGGATGGGAGATTTCAAGACTAGGGGACGCATTTTTAAGGTGAGAGGAGAGATTTAAAAAAGACGATAGGACAGTTTTCTTACACAGAGGGTGATTCGTTTGTGGAATGAACTTAGAAACATAGAATCCCTACAGTGTGGAAACAGGCCCTTTGGCCCAACAAGTCCATACTGACCCCCAGAACTTCCCACCCATACCCAATCCCCTATCACCCACCTAATCTGCACATCCCTGAACATTATGGGCAATTTAGCATGGCCAATCTACCTAGCCTGCACATCTTTGGACTGTGGGAGGAAACTGGAGCACCCGGAGGAAACCCACACAGACACGGGAAGAATGTGCAAACTCCACACAGACAGAGGGTGGAATCGAACCCAGGTCCCTGGTGCTGTGAGGCAGCAGTGCTAACCACTGAACCACCGTGCCACCTTTTTCTTGAGGAAGTGGTGGATGTGGGTACAATTAAAACATTTAAAAGACATTTAGATAAGTACATGAATAGGAAAGGTTTGGAGGGATATGGGCCAGGAACAGGCAGGTGGGACTAGTTTAGTTTGGGATTATGCTTGGCATGGACTGGTTGGAGTGAAGGGTCTGTTTCATAAGAGCTAGGAGCAGGAGTAGGCTGTCCGGCCCTTCGAGCCAGCTCCGCCATTCAATAAGATCATGGCTGATCTTTTCATGGACTCAGATCCACTTACCCGCATTCTCACCATATCCCTTAATTCCTTTATTGTTCAAAAAAAATCTACCTTTCCATGCTGTACCACTCTGTGACTCATGTTTTAATGCATTTTATGTAAGATACTTCTTCAGTTCAGTTTGCAGTTGATATCTCCTAAATAGATATTGAATGAGAAAGATTGAGGTTATAATTTTTTTCAATTGCATTTACAGTGTTGTTTGAGCTGTGTATTTAACATTTTTTTTAAAGGGTGTCTTGTCCAATATTTCATCAATCACAGACCTGGGTGGCTTTGATCCGGTCTGGCTATTCCTGGTGGTTGGAGGTGTGATGTTCATTCTGGGATTTGCAGGATGTATTGGGGCTCTGCGAGAGAACACCTTCTTATTGAAGTTTGTAAGTACTCCAAATATTCTTAACAGAGGGTTTCTGGGGAAACTCTGACAGCCCAGTCTTGTTTGCTCGGGTGAGGCAAAAATGTTATCAAAAGGGATGGGCAGGGATCCACGTGACTTTTAGAAATGAGGCTAGTGAGGATGTAAGCACGTAGCCCTCAGCTTTACAGGAATGACCTGGAATGGCAGAGTCAAGGAAAAATAATTAAATTGGTTGGATTCAACAGAGGTGCTGCAAAGGGATCTTAACAGGGTTTGTAACTAGATTGACTTCTGGAAAAATGTACCTACAGACAGGAAGTAAAATTAAGAGAGACAGGTACTCTGAATGTAACGCAGAACCTAGCAAGTAATAAAACAGGAATGTATGAACATCTTAAAGAGCAGAAGTAGCCCGTTCGGTGTCTCGAGCTGCTCCACTATTTAAAGATTGTGGCTGATCTGAGTTCTGAGGAAGGGTCACTGGACCCGAAATGTTAACTCTGATTTCTCTTCACAGACGCTGCCAGATCTGCTGAGCTTTTCCAGCATCTTCTGTTTTTGTTTGAAGCTGATCTGATGGAGTTTCAAATTCCACATTGTCATCTACCCCAATAACCTATGATTCGCCTGCTTATCAAGAATCCATCCACACGAAGTGCTGGAGAAACTCAGCATCAGACTCTTCAGACACCCTATTCTAAAGAAGGGTCACTGGACTTGAAACATTAACTGTTTTCTGTCCACAGACACTGCCAGACCTGTTGAGTTTCTCCAGCAATTTCTGTTTTTGTTTCTGATGCCCAGCATCTGCAGTTCTTTGTTTTATTTAAGAATCTATCCACCTCTGTCATAAAAATATTTAATGACGTTGTCTCCACTGACTTCTGAAGCAGAGAGCTCCAAATTTGCACGACCCTCTGAGAAAACAAGTCATGTCACTGCCCTGAGAGGGTGACCCCTCATTTTAAAAATGTGTCCCCTGATTCTGGACCGACTCCCAGGAGAAAACAGAAATCGCTGGAAAAACTCAGCAACTGTTCTGAAAAGGGTCACTGGACTCAAAACGTTAACTCTGCTTTGTCTTCGTAGATGCTGCCTGGTCTGCGGTTTTTCCAGTAATTTCTGTTTTTGTTTTTGATTTGCATCCACAGTTCTTCAGGACTTTTTAAAAAAAAAAAATTCCACCTTTTGTCAAGGCTGTTGAGGATCTGACACACTTCAAACAAGTCACCCCTTGCCCTTATAAACTCCAGTAGAAACAAGCCTAGCCTGCCCAATTTTTCTTCATTATAACAACTCGATCATTCCAATTATAATCTCCACAGCCTCCAATGCACTTCAATCCTTCCTCAAATTAGGAGACCAGAACTGCACACAGTATTTGAGATGTGGTCTCCCCATTGCCCTGAAGCGTAGCACCCTTACTTATATCTTCAATTCCTCGCATAATAAAATATTGAGTGCTTTACCTACACTGACTTTTTGTGACTCATTCACCTAAATCCGTCTGCAGCTCAGAATTCAGCATTCTCCATTTAAGTAATACTCTGCTTTTTTGTTATTCTTCCTGCCAAAGTGGACAACGTCACATTTTCACATTGTAATCCATCTGTCCGTTTCTTGCCCAGTCATCCAATTTATCTGTATTGATCTGTAACTTCCTTATGCCTTCTTCACAAGAAGTTTTCTTACTGATCCTTGAGTCATCTGCAAATTTAGCTACCATGCCTTCACTCCCAACATCTGAGTCATTGATGTCAATTGTGAAAGATTCAGGCCCCAGCACAGACCTCTTGTCATATGCTCCCAATTAGACAGACCCATTTATGCATACTCTCTGTTTTCTGCCAGTCAGCTAATTCATGCTAATATGTTACACCCTGTGCCATGAGCTTTTATTTTCTGCATAGCGTTTGATGTGACACCTTATCAAATTACTTCTGGAAATTCAAGTAGGCTGTATCTATAGGTCCACCTTTATTCACTGCGCAAGTTACTCCTTCAAAGACTTCTAATAACTTGTTTAAATGTGATTTCTTTTTGGCAAAGCCATGCTGATTCCTCAAGGTTACGTTGAGTTTTCCTTGGTGCACACCTCCGATGTCAAAAAGAAATTGGATACAAGATGAAGCAAGAAGTGCTCTATATTTAGCACAGTGAAGGGGAATTTTATAGTTCTACTTTCAGTTTGAGAAGAACGAACTTAGAAAAGGCAGACAGGTTGAAATGCAGTCACTGTTGTAGTGTAGTCACTGTTGTAATGCAGGACATATTGCAGCCAATTTGTGCTCAGCTAGGGCTCTAAAAGGATAGTCTTGTGTAGATTGGATTATTTGTTTTAAGGTGTTGGTTAGGACAGTTTGGATAATTTCTCTGTTCTTCTAACAAATGCTGCTGAATCTTTTTTTTTATCCATATGAGAGAGCATATTGGCCCCCAGTTTACAATCCCATCCAATTGCAGCACTCCTCAGTTTGGATTAGGCTTGTAGACTTGAATTTTGTGCTCAAGTGTCAGGATTGGGAGTGCAGATTCTCAGAATTATTACTTTGCAGAAGGAAGTAATTTAGCCCGTATTGTCTGCACTGACTCTCCGAGCATTTTAACTTGGTGCCATTTTCATGCCTTTTCCCTGTAACTCTGTGTACTGTTTTTCTGAGAATTATCATTAAGTGTCTCCTCGAATGCCTCTTGAACCTGCCTCCACCACATTTCAGTCAGTGCATTTCAGACCGTAACTGTTTGATGTGTGAAGAAGTATTTTTTCACACCTCGTATTTGCTTCTTTTGCGAAACACTTTAAAACCATCTCTTCCGGTTCTCTGTCTGTTTATGAGCAAGGACAGTTTGTCCCTATCCACTCTGTCTCAACCCCTCACCATTTTGAAAACTTCTTTCAAATCTCCTTTTGGCCTTCTCTCCAAGGGAAACAGTTCTAACTTGCTCAATTAATCCTCAGAACTGAAGTAAAACAAAGAAGTGTGGATGCTGGAAATCTGAAACAAAAACAGAAATTGCTGGAGAAACTCAGCAGGTCCGGCAGCATCTGTGGAGAGAGAAACAGAGTTAAAGTTTCGAGTCCAGTGACTAGAATCCAGTTCTGAAGAAGGGTCACTGGACTCAAAAACTTAACTCTGGTCTCAACTGTTGTGTGTTGTCTGTGGAACCATTCTTGCGATAACTCTCCGCACTCTCTCCAATGCATTCATATTCTGCTATAATAGGGTTCCCAGAATGGTGCACTGTTCTCCAGCAGAGATCTAACCACTCTCCTGTTGATGTTCATTATAACCTGCCTATTCCTGTACTCTGTGCCCCTATTTATGAAGCCAACAGTACTGTATGTTTTATTAATGGCTCTCTACATGCTCCGCCACTTTTAATGACACATGCGTGTATGCACACAGGTTTCTCTGCTCCTGCCACCCCATTTAGCATGGTATCTAGTATACGCAGTTCAAGTGATGAGAGTTGCTAATCACTGAGCTGTGCCCTACGCCTTTGTGGAACTCCATTGCTGATAGCTGTGGCAGAAGGAGGATTGCAAAAAGTGTTTACCCCCAGTTCAGACTAAGTAATTGATTTGATTTCGTGGGAGAGAAACTGTACTGCCTATCTAATTTTATATCCAGAAGTGCTCTTACATGCAACTGAGTGATTTTTTTTTTCTTCCATCACCAAATCGCATGTAGTTTTTTTAAATCAATTAGCTACCACCAGTAAATCACCTATGATTTCCAATTGATTAGTTTACATTCAAAGTCCATTATAGGCAATGCAAACCATTAAAGGAGGCTGTACTGCCTCACACCTCTGGAGAAGGGTGAGATTTTACCCCCAGCCTTCTGGCTCAGAGTTAGGAACATTGCCAGTACATCTCAAGGACCCTTTGTATTGCCTGTCTAAAAGTTTATACCAACTGTGGAACCTATTGCCGGTTGATTAAGCATCAATTAATCTATCTCTCTCTAGACCAGTAAATCTCTATTGTAACAGAACATCCTGCTAAATCACCTAATCCTATACTATTATCCATTAGTTTTGTTTCATTTTAAATCCTTCCTTTAGCTGATCAAACAAAAGGGTGTGTGTTAATCTATGCATATATAAAATGTACGTATACTTGTATGTAACTCAAATTAAAATTCATTTCATTTTTTCAACTGCAGGTGTGATTTAAATGCAGTTTGCTCACCAAGTGACAGAGCAATGGAGATCAAACTAAATTCACAGTCTCTGCTTAGTATTTTCCAAGCAAATAATTCTTAGGGTAGCTTCAGTTGAGATTGATGTCATAACTATCATGGAGTCATAGAGTAATGCAGCATGGAAACAGGCCCTTCGGCCCAAATTGGTCCATGTTGACTATGGTGCCCACTCAGCTAGTTCCAATTGCCCGTATCTGTCTAAATCCTTACCATCCATGTACCTATCCAGATGTTTTTAAGATGTTGCTATGGTATCTGCCTCAACCACTTTCTCTGGCAGCCCAATCTATATGCACACCACTCTCTGCGTGAAGATGTTGCCGCTCAGGTCCTTCTTAAATCTATCCCCTCTCACCTTAAACGTATGCCCTCTAGTTTTAAACTCCCCATCCCTGGGGAAAAAAAAGATATACATTCATCCTATCTATGCCCCTCATGATTTTATACACCTCAATAAGGTCACTCCTCATTCTCCTACGTTCCAAGGAATAAAGCCCTATCCTGGCGTCCCTATAACTCAGGCCTACTAATCCTGGCAACATGCTTGTAAATCTTCTTTGCACACTTTCCAGTTTAACTATGTCTTTCCTATAACAGGGTGACCAAAACTGTCCACAATACTCCAAGTGCAGCCTCACCAACAATTTATACAACTGTAATATAACGTCCCAACTCTTAAACTCAATGCCTCGACTGATGAAGGCCAGCATGCTAAATGCCTTCTTCACCACCCTGTCAACCTGTGACGCCACTTTCAATGAACAATGTACATGTACTCCTAGGTCCCTCTGTTCCACGACATTCCTCAGGACCTTATCATTTATTGTACAAGTCCTGCTTTGGTTTGATTTTACAAAGTGCACACCTCACACTTATCTGTATTGAATTGCATTTGCCAATCCTCAAACCACTTCCCCATCTGACCAAGATACCTCTGTAATTTTTGATAACCTTCCTTGCTATCAACGATTCCTCCTAATTTTGTATCGTCCGCAAACTTACTAATCATGCCATGTACATTCACATCCAGATCATTTATGCAAATAACAAAGGTCCCAGCACCGATCCCTTTGGCACACCACCAGTCACAGGCCCCCAGTCTGAGAAACAACCTTCAACCATCACCCCTTGCTTCTTACCATTGAGCCAGTTTTGAATCCAATTAGCTAGCTCTCCCTGGATCCCATGTGACCTAACCTGGGTTGTGGGACATTGTCAGAAACTTGTCTAAAGTCCATGGAGACAACATCCATTGCCCTACCCTCACCCATCCTCTTGGTTACTGCTTTGAAAAACTCTAAAAGATTTTTCAGACATGACTTCCTGTGCACAAATCTGTGCTGACTATCCCTAATCAGACCTGGATTATGCAAATGTTGGTTGATCCTGTCCCTCAGTATCCTCTCCAATAATTTGCCTACCACTGATGTCAGGCTCACTGGCCTGTAGATCCCTGGTTTGTCTTTGCTCCCTTTCTTAACCAATGGAACAACATTAGCCACCGTTCAGTCTTTAGGAACTTCACCAGTGGCTAAAAATGAAGCAAAAGTCTCTGCAAAGGCCTCTGCAATTTATTTCCTAGCCTCCCACAACATCCGAGGATGGACTTGATCAGGCCCAGGGAATTTATCCACCTTAATGCGATCTAAGGCTGCAAACACCACCTCTCTGGTAATATGTATGCGGTCCAAAACATCCCCACTTGTTTGATTATAGCCTCTTCCTTCAGAGCAGCTTTCAACAGATTAAAAAGTGCTGTTGAACTTTCAATACTGAGGGGCTGCAGAAGCACGTTGCAGTTTCAGGATGAAGGGTTGGCTATTTCCAACTGAGCTGAGGAGCGACTTCTTCACTAAAGTTTACAAATGTTTGAAATTATCTGCCCTGTAAAGCTTGAATGCTCATTCATTGAAAATATTCAAAATTGACGTTGATACGGAATCCAGGGATAGGGTGGAGAAATGAGAGAAAAGATCAGTCGTGATCTTATTGCATGTTCCAAGGGACCCTTTAATCCTAGTTGCGCTGTTTCTATGTCTTTATGTTTGGCACTTCACAGGAGCAATAGTCAAACAACAATTAGTGCTGAACCTGATGAGAAAATATTAAAGCAGGTGTGCAGAGTTTGGTTTAAGGAGCCAGGAAAAATATCTAAATGGTAAGAGATGCAGTTTCCAAAAAAAAGTATTAATCACAGTAGGACTTTTGTTTCCAAAACAAAGAAAGAACTGAAGATGGTAGAAATTGGAAACAAAATCAAAAACTGTTGGAAAAACACATCTGTGGAGAGAGAAACAGTTAAAGTTTTGGCTCAAGTGCCCTTTCTTCAGAATTAGGATTTTTGTTTTAATCTCTCAGAAACTGGCATAAAATTGCAGGTGTGTGCGGAGTCAGGGTTAGCAAACTTTTCCGTTTTTAAATGAAGAAAAGATCCCTTGCATGGTTCACAAGAAATGAAATTCTATCGATGTAACTGATGCCATGCAGAGCAGCTTGAATATGTGTGAAGAAAATCTCTGGATTACGATTTTGAAAGTCACTTGGTTGTAATTCTTGGAAAGTTGATAGCATCAGTGTATGGACAGAAGTTTTTAAGTCTGTGTCACTTCTCTTTTTTTTACAACAGTTCTCCGTCTTCCTCGGAGTGATTTTCTTCCTGGAGCTCACAGCTGGGGTCCTGGCGTTTGTCTTCAAGGACTGGATCAGGGATCAACTTAACCTTTTCATTAACCAGAATATCAGAGCATACCGAGATGATATTGATCTCCAAAATCTTATTGACTTCACGCAGGAATATGTAAGTCCATTCTATCAGGGCATGAGGATATCTGATAGTGAGAACCAATGTGAACCAGTTTGGGAAAGAGTGAAGCTACCTCAAGGTTGACATGGCTTTGGGTCAATCCTGAATAACTTTGAAAGCAATGTAGCAAAGATTCATCAGAATATTACTAGGCCTACAAAGGCTAAATTACGAGGAGACCTCTTATTGCCTGAATATATGAGGATCAAGGGTGGTTTGATTGATAATTTTTGAATTTTGGAAGGAATTAGTGGAACAGATGGAGATAAACGTTTTGCACTTGAGGTGGAGAACAGGGCAATAACACATCATCGTCATCAGAGATAGTAGGAACTGCAGATGCTGGAGAATCCGAGACAACAAGGTGCAGAGCTGGATGAACACAGCAGGCCAAGCAGCATCATAGGAGCAGAAAGGCTGACGTTTCGGGCCTAGACCCTTCATCAGAAA